AGAAGGGAAACATCTAAAACATGCAGGACTGTGGACCTCAAGGACCAGGATTGCCCACCCCTGCTCTAGAGCATCTCTGTGTCAAATTTAGGCCCGCGGACCAAATCTGGCCCACACTGTAATTGTTTTTGTCCTGCGTGATAATATCAAATGTCTATTAAAGAGTCTTCAAAATACAGTATATTAAAGGTTTCACAAATTTGAAAATGGGTTTGAGACAGCAGTAGCAGTTCACCTTAAATGTCTGACTTATCTTTAAATCATTCAAATGTGATAGAAACAATGCTTAAAGTTAAGTTTCTCTTAACGTTTCCCTTAACTGCAATCAGTGTTGAAACACTTAATACAGCCTCCTGAGGGTTTCTTCTCCACCACTGCCTTTAACAACAGAACACAAGACAATCATCACAATGATCTGCTCTACTGCAGCTCTAAAACATAAAAGACATTAAAACAAACCATGAAACATACAAACCAGTAGATTTAAAACCCATTATATCACCTTTAAACCACAAATATTTTTTCTTCTCAAGTGTTTACTTTTACAATGTTGAAACTCTGTTTATGGCACAGAAGCTACAGGAAGAAATCGTGTCTGTTAGGACAAGAACTTCATGGCTTAATGAGGACAGTGCACTAGGAGTATTTGGTTAAACATCAACCAGGAAGGAAGAAGGAAATACAGGACTTTTAAAAGAAACAATACATGTTTCTGATTCAGTCACAGGAGTTGAACTCTGACACTTTCAGGAGAGTTTTACGGTTCTTTTTCTGGGAAATTATATGATTATTGTATCATAAATCTGCCTCCCATTCTACTCCTGCAATCTCTGGGAACCACAAGTAAACCTGCAGTCGGTTAGGATAATATGGTGCAATAAGGGTCTAATATATAATGGAGCCTGCTCATTTACAGCTTTATATATGAGAAGGATTTTGATTGTGTTCTGGATTTCACAGGGCGCCAATGAAGTGAAGGTAGTATGGGAGAAATATGATCTCTCTTACTGGTTCCTGCCACAACTCTGGCTGCAGCATTTTGTGTCAGCTGGAGGTTTTTCCACAGAGTTATGTGGACATTGTGATAAAAAAAAAAAAAAAGAATTACAATAGTCCAGCCTGGAGGCTACAAATGCATGGACTAGTTTATCAACATCACTCTGAGACACAACGTTCCTGATTTTGATGATATTGTGCAGGTGAATACAGGCTGTTCTAGTGATATGTTAGTTAAATGGCATATCCTAATTAAAAACGATGCCAGAACTGCAACTATCTGTTTCTGAGGTGTTCAGGGCCGAATATCACAACTTCAGTTTTCTCTGAATTTACTGAAGAACACTGCAGATCATCCAGGCCTTAATGTCCCTGAGACATGTTTGGAGTTCAACTAACTGATCAGCTTCATCTGATTTTGTAGAAAAATATAACTGGGTGTCATCTGCATAACATTGGAGATTCATACAGTGTTTCCTGATAATATTGCCTAAGGGAAGCATGCACAAGGTGAATCATGTCAGTCCTAGCACAGAACCCTGTGGAACTCCATCACTA